TGGGAGTTCCATGTATGACTGGGATGTTGTGAATTCAATACATAGTCAGTGGTTCTTACCACCGGGAGCTTTTACTCAATAACTTCCCAGATCACATTTCTCCCATACTCAATCAACTGGTTCTTCTGCACAATTTTACCATTGAAAGCCAAGTTCAATACCATGCACCACTAGCCTTCAAGCCCCGTGATTTTGGCAGCGCCATGTACGGTTTATCCCAGAAGACCTTACCGTCTTTGTAAACTCGGCAGAGTGGACTTTGTGTCAGTATTCAAAGGTTATCCACAGCTCTCAATCTTATTGATATCGCAAATAGCGTCGAGTTCATCCAATGACCCCGTGCTTCACTTTATCGTTTTCATCCCTGCAGCCTCTCAGAGACCATTGTACATCCTAGACGCCGCTGGTGTGTCCAACCTCTTTTTTTGCAAACATAGTTCAATACCTAACATGGGCAAAGGTACACCGTCAGCTGCGAATGCTTTCCTCCTCCCCCAATGGGGGGGAATTGTACTCCACAATCCATCTGACTCGAGTGATCAAGCGGCCGACCACTCATTTTCAAAACACACGCTGGATTCCGTGTTCCTTGGATTCCGGGACCAACTTCTCACTTTACTTGGAGTTCCACGTCTACCAGTAGGACTCAACGTCATTGGAGCCGCAGAGCCTTGACGAGTTGGCAACTTGAGTCCCTAATGCGCCGCCGCTCCCTGGAGAATTCTGAAGGTGCTAAAGATACACTTCAAAGCATCGTGAAATTGGTAGAGCAAATAGAGAATATGCCTGTAGGCCAGAATGTCAGAGACGATGTTCAAAACGCATTGACGGCGCTCGATGAGGTTGGTCTTCCCACGAGTTTGTTCGTCGTCTTGCTGATTTCCAAAAGCTTTACTACTCCTCGAAAACATCTCTTGGCCACGTCCTGCACCACTCAGCGCAAGCTCTTGAATTTTCCTCACGAGCCTTTTTCAATCCTGGAATGCTTGCTCTTCTCTATTTCCCTGCAGAGCACAAGTATGCGGTATACACACCACTCTTTGCATCCGCGGTCATTCCTCTATTCGTTGCAGCCATGAGGGAAGTCAATGCGTTCCGAAAACAGCGAAACTTGAGGAGGCAAAGTCGTTGAGGCTAGCCCGCTGGAATTGCTTTTCTTGATTGTACGTATTTATACAATAGCAGGGATATATCTCCTCATGTTTAAAGTATGCGACCGGAAACCCCCGTTCCACGAACTGTGTGCTACTTTGCAATCGCGGCTAAGATCTGCTTCACACAATAGCACATACGGGACTAAATAGCTCGCAGCTCCCATAAGAACTCGTTGTCTTGGCCCTTAGACATCTACCCACAGTATGTAGGGTCCGAACTCAGGGAGCTATGGTGCACATGTGCCGATTTGTTTGGCTTCTACATTTGGGCCCTCCTGATATCGCCCCACGCGAATGATGCCAATGGAACAAAAAAGACCATAGTTTTAAAGTATTAGCGTCGGCAGCGTTAATCCTGAACCCTCGGTGGATGAAAATCTGATAGATCTTGACTCATGGGGCTCGAAACCCTTTACCTAAAACTGGGGCGAGCTGATGCGCACTGGGTACCGGTCTTCATATATCAAAAATGAGGATAGTTTTGGTAAAGGGTCTTCAATATAGATAGTTACGCGCGTGAATATCTGGGATTGAGTGTGGGGGCCACGTACATAACCACCATCAGAATTCAAGGTTGTTTCTATGAGCGCTCCGCTAATCCCGTTATCGGCGCCTAATAAATTCGTATTTCCCTTCGGGCTTGCGTTAGCGGAAGTTCGACAAGTTGTGACGCAGATGTTCATACGCTCCATCACGGGTACCAGCACAGTTCGCGCAGTATGCCAGGCGCTAATTGACCTCCAGGAATATCTTGCACGGCGTTATTTACGCACTCACATTGTTCGAAGGGGACGGGAAGGCTGTTATTGGTCGCAGTGAGAAGCAGCGGTTTAAGCCGTATTCCACCCAGTGGTGACAACCTGTCAGCGGATGTGAAGCCAACCCAGCCTCTCAAAAATTCGCTGTCGGATGCAGAATTTGTTCCAAAAGTGCTGCGTGCCGCCTGACTGACCACCATTTGAAGTGGCAGATATTTAACTTTTGAGGGTAACCATCGAAGGATAGCACTCAAGCTACCCTTCCCCATCTGTGGCTCACAGAAGAGGCCGATACACGCGGAGGCAAGTTTCAGCGACAACATACGATGAATATTGGCTGGGGAACCGTAGCGATGGTGGACGGAAACAATCTACCATGTACATGGATACGGCGAAGAAACGGATGGTTCCCGTCCTGTGCAATGACGTGAGGTTATATCAATAAGCTATTCGTAAACGAGATATCGCGCAAGCTTACACACCATAAAAGCAAGGCGCCTCCGCTCGATTTAAGTTTATTCCCTGTGGGATTCCGTCGACCATTTTTGGCGACTCCGAGATGAAAGAGTCAGAGCGAGAAACATGCTAGGCCGCAGAATGTAATGCAACTGAACATGCCATGAAAAACGGTCCATCCCCGCATGATCAAGATTTGGAATTTTTGTCATATTGAAGGAAGTCGGGTTGGTTGACCATGATCCTTCCACACTTCCTAAAGCGATGCGCGATGGGAGAGAATGTCACGAAGTGAGATAGGTTAGAACGCGATGTCGGAATACCATGTCTGCATGGAAGAATCCCCGATATTTTGAGACAACGGCTGGAACACAGTGGAAATAGTCTATCCACGACCGCGGGCGAGTTGGGAACTGCATCGCTGGGAAAAACCTTGCCGGAAATGAGATGCGAGTGCTTGCCAACGACGTGTCGCGCGTAGTATGGTGAGGCCAGTCCATGGAAACCATGCATGTTTCAACAGTACAACACAGCACAGCCGGGCTGTAGAGCTTCAAGTCTCATCAAAGATTAGGCTATCATACCTACCCATATCTTCGTAGAAATAACTCCCGGAGGAAGAGCCCGAGCCCACCGAAACAGGAGCCCCTGGGGGGATGGAGGGTGACTGTTGGCAGAATCACGTATCTAAAGTGATTAAGTGTGTTCAATGAGAATTATGGCCAACGACCAGCCGGCTGCTGTAAGTCTGTAACTTGTGAATGGCTGGGTAGAGTGACTCAGGCTTAGCGGTGAAGTCCTGCACCCTCAATTGCCGATCAGCACGTGATCGGGTAATCCATCATTGGGTGCGGGTTCCGTGCCACATACGCTCAACCTACACCTGGCACCTACCACACGTTGGATTCGTATACTTACCCTCAAATCCTTTTGAAATTCTACCACATCACATGGGGAGCAAACTGAATATTGACGGGATTCTCCTCTTTGAGCAACCATTTGCTCGTGTATGTCACTGCTTCCAATGATTTACGCCTGGGAACCTCATGATTGCTAGGTCCCATACGAGAATTATCGCAGAGTCTTTCGGACCTCCCAAAAATACATAGAGCGAGAGTTTGGGGCCGTACAGACCACCTCTGGTGACCTGAAGCGCGGAACGAGTTGCTCAGTCCCAGCCGAAGATGCTGTGAAAGCTATCGACAGTATGGTTGGTCGGGTGGAGAATCTCAAGCGCAAGGTACTTACCCCATAACGGATCGATTCGTAACCTTTACAAAGTGAGATGATCGCAGCTTTCAGATCTGCAAGAGACCACGGGCAGGCCCACGCAGGATATCATGCGTGAACGGCTGCAGCATCTTGCTACGGTTGAAGCAATACAGACCGCGGGCGGTGCTGAATTTACGAGATGGGCTGACACCCGACTCGATCGGTGGCTAGTTGATTGGTTTTTCAGGAGTGGAAAGGAAGGGACAGCCAAAGCAATCGCGAGAGAAAAAGGAATTGAAGTAATGGCTTTCCATCTCCTTCCGCCGATAGACTAACAGCATGGGATAGAAATTAGTTGATATTGATTTATTCACCGACATAAAGCGGATTGAAGAGGCTCTCTCGCGGCACAGTTGTACGGAGGCGTTAGCATGGTGTAGTGAGAATAAAACAGCACTCCGAAAAATGAAGGCTGGTGGACAACGCTCTTCTACCGGTCCACCCTAATACTTATGACACAGAGCACCCTGGAATTTGAACTTCGCCTCCAGGAATATATTGAATTAGCGAGGGCACGGGACACACAGGAGGCTATCGCGTATTCCAAAAAGCATCTAATATCATGGCAGGAAACGCATCTCCCCCAGATACACCAAGCGGCCGCTCTCTTAGCGTTCACTTCGGATACAACGTGTGGCCCATACAAGGTAAATTCACCATGGATGCCCATAACCACCCACTAAAGCGAGTTAACATTTCAGCGGTTATATGATCCCGTGCGATGGAATACTCTTATACGTTCGTTTCGCCTGGCGATATATAATCTAAATACACTCCCCACAGAACCACTGTTGCACCTCGCTCTCTACGCAGGACTGGCTTCTTTAAAGCTACCTGTGTGTTATGACCGCTCTACCAAGAATGTGGATTGTCCTGTTTGTGATGGAGAAGTAGGATCAAGTTCAGAGGGACTAGGCCTCGGTAAATTAGCAGAGGAGGTGCCCCTCAGCCACCACGCAAACTCGACCATCGTTTGCCGAATCAGCGGCAAGATCATGGATGAGGACAATATGCCTATGGCATTTCCAGATGGGTATGTGTATTCAAGAGAGGTAGGATTGTCCCAGCGGTCCCTTTTCCATACTTATAGTGATGTTATAGGCCTTGGAGGACATGGCAGCCAAAAACGGTGGAATGGTAACATGCCCGAGAACAGGCACGACCTGCGAATTTTCCGCATTGAGGAAAGTATTTATTTCATGATTGTAATGATATGTATGTTCTTGCCTAGTTCCTTGTACTTATGTATTAATTCATAATGGCCAACTACAACCTTGGGGGTGTGGGTGGACAACGGCATATATGTAGGAGCCTAAATGAAACACGCAGCCAGCGCTTGAGTAAAAATTCCAAAATGAAATGCCCACTAGCCGATTTGAACGACTGACCTCACCATTCCGCAGTGCTGCGTTAAGCAGATACGAGTGGCGCGCTCTACCCCTGAGCCAAGCGGGCTATGTCAACAAGCCGTGCATTGGATCTATTATTATTATGATGTCAGCTCCACCACTCGGGCCCGTTGTTGTCTCCTGCTCCTATTTCCATATGCACTGATCTGACTTCGCGGGAGAGCTAGGGCAGTGTTTTTATCATGCGCAAACCTCCAACCCTTAACAACCAGCCTAATTCCTGGTAGAGTGGTCCACGGCGGGGGCGCTTTGGATATTTTTGGTGTGGTTGGTGTAGTTCTACCGTGGGTCTTACACTGGCCCCTGGAAAGCCCGGTTCGCACAACGCGGCGCAGGCACATTTGATCATGATCGCTCCCTCACTTGTTTGGGCGAAATGTGGCCTGTGTCCACATTTTCTCTTGTGTGCCAATTCACTCAATAAATATTTATATTGGGCCCCGAGCCTCGTGGGGGTGTTTTGAGCTTTTTTCTGCCACCCTAAAATCCAGCGGGCACCGGAAGACCACACGTTACTCCCTTTGACTAGTTGGTCTGTCCCTGGGGCCGTGCCCTCAGCGCAACGAAATCATTTCCAAGAGCCTGGCCTCCGTTGCGTCTCCCTGGCTACCGTCATGAAAAAAACGAGCAGCCGGGCAGCTTTGTCCCAAAAGTTCTCACGTCGTATCAATATCGCTCATTCGTTTGGTGATGAGAATATTAACACCAGCTGATAGTTTTGTTGTACCTGGCTGTGGTTTTCAAACCTTGGTTCGGTCGATCCTGCTTGGTTATGATCACTGCGGGCTGTCAGCTTTTGGGCGTCCCTGTAATATCAACTCCGGCAGCGCCTCCAATCACACTGTCTCGTCATCTCCACGGGGGTCTGTTTTACAACAATCCACTGGCTACTGAACCAAGATGTGAACGGTGGTTTGAACTTTGAATGTTGATTGCAACGTGGGATGTTCGGGGCCGGATGGAAATTTTGATACCCCTGGTATGTGCTGGGCACTGATGGTTGGCATCAATAATGAATCGACCACTTCTCGGGCAATCCGGCTACGCTTAGGTTTACTTACAGTTCAGTCTTGTGGGGTTCGGTAAACTTATCGCCGTTGGGGTCTGTTCTGGGGATTGGATCGTTTTTCTTTTGGGTTTGTTGCGATGCGAGCAGAAGCGATTTCAGCTGAAATAATAATGACGCAGCCTCGAATTGATAATTACCCGGCCTCAATGGAGTATGCAGTTGAAACGCACACAGCAGACTTTTGGCCGTGGCGCACACTGCAACGCGACTCGGCCACTGATGATTGGACCAGACATGAATGATGACTTTCGGCCTGCCTCCGCGTGGTGTTGCATGGTGCTGTTGTGTGGCAGGTTGATTTGTTACCTCCAATTTAGGTCGGTCCCGAAATGAATACTTTGACAGTTGCCGAGACGATATACATGATCTCCAGAAAACAACCACAATGGATCCCAACCCGATCGCGAAGCAGCTTGATTCCGCTTCGCTTTCACTGCATGATCCAAAATGAGATTTATGATTTCGCCGACGACCGTTGACACCCTATCTAGTCACCCTCCAGCTCCGGACCTGAAGGCCACATGCGTGCATTTGCACGACTATAAAAACCGCTTTCCAACCTTGGCTATTTGGACCATCCCCCCTCCCGTTGCCGCTCCTTCCTGAGTTTCGAGTCTTATTACCAAAAACCATGCCGTATTCCGTGGGGCTACAATCGGCAGCCACAGCCTTTCTCTCCGCGGGCTTTGGTACCCAATTTACCCTCGCTGTTGTCATATTTATTGCCATCTCCCTCGCTCTTTCTTCGATAGAAAGGAGCGAGCCTGACTCTCCCGCTTCATTGCCGGGATACTCTATATTTTCTATACATCCATTCTTTCGTCGACGATATGACTTTTTGAATTGGGGATTTCACGCCACGGGACAGAGTATTTTCCAATTCAAGCTTTTGCGTGTACGCTTCTATCCTGTTCTTTCCCAAGGCTATTGCTCACGCTTTGGGCCACACAGAACACCGTCATTGTCGTCTCTGGCGAAAGTGCAAGACATACATTCTTCACTGCAAAAGGGCTCGATCTCACAGAAGGTTTCAAAATTCTCTCTGGTGCCGTTCGTGCTTCCACCTACTGGCATATGCGGTTTTGCTAATCTGTGGGCCAATTAGATTCCGATGGTGAAAGGCGTCACGTCGGACCTCCAATCCAGACGCATTGCTCTGATCCACAAACGCCTGGCTGCTGCTCAAAGAAACGCACCATTGAATAACCGTAAGCATGAGTGTTTCTTGATCTTCGTTAACGAGCCTGATGGTCCATAGTTATCCCTGCTATCTTGGAGGATTCTCGGAAAATCATGGAGAGTTGGGGAACTTCCGGGACCTTTGATCCCTTTGACAGGATCTACTCTGTGAGTATCCATAGCACTGGGCATTTTCGTGCCCCCATCAAATTTTATCTCCCCGGCCATATGCTCAACGGCTGTTCCTCGTTCAATCTAGCTTATCTTCCAGACAACGGTCCGAAGCTTGTCCTGTGCTGAGATCGCTGATGACCCTGCGGTCGTTGCGCGGCTGAAAACACTTTACGATACCCTAGACCAAGGCACCACACCAGCAACAGTTCTTCTTCCGTGGATACCCACACCAGCAATGATCAAAAAGTTGTGGGCAACCAAAGAAATATATGACATTGTCGTTCGCGCTATCGACAACAGAGAGAAGAGTGGTATATCGAGGGACGATACACTTCAAATGCTGATAGATGGAGGAGACGAGAGATTAGTTATGGTTGGGGTCAGTTTTTTTTTGGTGTTCGTGCATATTCACGTGCTGATGGATATTGCCTCAGTTTATTATGGGCTTATTAATAGCTGGTGCTCGGGCGACTGGGACAACAGGTATATATCTCCATTGGCTCTGGGAAATATCTCCGTTTAACAAAATGGTTTAACCAGCATGCTGGCTCATGACATTCATTGGCGCAAACCCCAGTTGGAGGACCAAGGCTGCGGCAGAGATTGAGTCTCTCCTCGCCGCGCATCCATTTATCTCTTCAGGACCATGTTCCGATTCCGAATCCCTTGCGGCGCACCTCTCCACTATACCACTGGAATCATGGGAGTCCTCCACCCCCGTACTCGACGCCCTCATCCGCGAAACCACACGCGTTGCCCAACCACACACAGCAATGAGGCGCAACCTCGGTCCCGAGATTTATATCGATGGTAAATTAATTCCGACAGGCGCATACGTGATATACCCATTCAGTGACGTACACTTGGACCCCGATATGTACCCTGATCCATGGAAATTCGACCCAGATCGTCAGCCCGCGAAGGCGGAGTTTGGTTATGTTGGCTGGGGTGGAGGTAAGTTCAATTCTTGCTACACTCACTGTGTGGAACGGAGTATCTCACTCCCCTTTTTTCCGCAGGAAAAACCCTGTGCCTCGGGACGCGTCTTGCCAAACTCGAGCTCAAGCTTCTGACCGCGATGTTTGTGCTCGGCTTTTCACACTCCACTGTGGATAGCACGGGAGCTTTGGCCACACCCACGCCGAACTGGAATGATATACTTATGTGTAAGCCAGAAAAAGGCTCGTGTTTCGTCAAGTACGAACGATCTGAGCGGAGCTTGTAATCGCTGGTGCGATGACGCGCGGGAAGGCCTGGATAGCCCCCATTAGGAGCCTTCGCCACCCCTCATAGATTAAATTAACAGCAACACGAAGCATGCAAGCGCATGCCAACGATCGCTCATTCATTTATCTTTATTTCTTCCGACCGGCCCCCACCCAACTCGCTTATTTATTCTAGACGTCGAATCCGACCCACACCAGCACCTCGCTACAGTTTCCCCATCGCCTGTCTCTCATTTAAATTTATCCTATTCGCCACCCCACCCACCAGGTCGCGTGTTCGTATACGCCAAGCTCAGATAATTAATTCACTCCCGTTTCAGTCACTTGGGCATCCAATCATTGACATTTCCATTACTTAACCACGGCCGTCACCATCTGGCTTAATAATATCGTATTGCTGACCCATTCTTAATAGTGCTAGGACAGCTTTTTATAGGAGTTATTCCCTAAGATAATGGGTAGTTATTTTTTGGTCGCTAGAAGGCCTTGGGCGAAGAAGTATTATACCGTTGGACACATATGGACATAGTGTAGCTTATTGAAATGTATCTATCCATATATTAATATTTCCCAATTTTTATCCCGAGTTCAATTGACGTTGCATGGTCTCAAAGCTCGGCACGGTCATTCGAATGCTTTGGTGTGATGGCATCGGTGAATGGAATAGCTAATGCCAAGCAACGAAACCATTCTCACCACCACCTACTCCGGGAGGTGCCCGGGCACAAGGGCGGACCTGGGTGGTGAATAAAACCTTTGCTTTCATTACAACTGTAAGGTAATAATTGTGGCGCTTCCATGCCCTGACACAACGAATTATAGTTACAGTACACACGGCGATCCCCATCGCCGAAATTAACATTCGCATTGCCTGCGCACCCTGAGGAGCTGTCCACTATGATGAGTTTAACACAAAACCCAAGCTAGGTGCTGGTGGGTACTGATTCAGCTCCCGGCCGATGAAGGAACGCAAATCGGAATACTGACCTTCCGTCCTCTGATAACACATAAAACCCGACTTCTTTGTCACCAAGTATCCTCGATGCCACACCTCCTGCTTTCTTTAGTATTGTATCATCCGGGCCTAAACCACACCGCGCTATCCATCCCGTCAACATCGGCCACTGAATTTGCGTGGGGAATATCACTTTATATGGGGTCCCAGAGACGCGCTCGATATCCCACCAACGGCCTCGTGGAGCTCCGTGAAGAAGCGGATGCACAAGCGGTGTACCTTCAGCAGGTTGAGGTTGATCAAGGGGCCACGCTGCCCTCCTAATTCCGACTCCGCAAGCTTCACGGTTGCGGATAGTGGATGATCATGGGAAGTGTCGCTTGGCGTCTTGGGGGTGCGATAGTCGTCAGCACGCATGTTCCACATCTCACTAAATGTAACGA